GCTCTGTACTTTCCCATGACCTCCAACCCACCTGTGGATTCAGTTGGATGAGCGCCACAAGGGCTGCTCCTGCTGAGGAAACCAGGATCCCAGCGCACCCCCCCTCCTACTGGGTCTCATGTTGTGAACTGTGACGTTCGTGCTTACATGTTGAGGTGTTTTTTTGCATAGTAGAGCTGCTCCCTGCCGGGTGCAACTCTGCTCTGCCTTTTTTTTCCCCTCCCCCACTTCTCATGTAATCCCCTCTTCATCTATTGAAATGAGCGCCATTATGGCTGCTCTCGTGGTCTGCCTGTATCTGTTTTGTGTATATGTGTGTGTGTGTGTAACCTTGGTCAGGCTGTTCTGTGGAGTCAAGTTCCTATGCTCTGGTTCGCTGGAGCGCTGGCAATAAAATTCTTTCTGATTCTGATTCTGATTTGTGAGGTTTTATTTATACAAAGGAAGTAAATGCGAGCTAACCGCATCTTTCAAGTTTGTGATAATTTACTTGCTGCAAGTGTGTCAATATTTTTCTTAATGTTTTGACAATTTACTTCTATTCACCATTTGGCAGTCAGCCACTCCATTTTCATTGATGTCTTATTAAAAAGAAGAGGTAGGTAATTTGGTGAGTTTATCCATCCACCCTGACCTCTTGACTCATAATCCAAGTCATGTCATCCTTACACCTCACTAGGCCAGCGGAATGGAGCTGCCCAATGAACTCTTCAGCAACAGCAAGTTGGGACATGTAGCTGACTGATTTGCAGTTTAAAAATCATATTTTACTTTTTTAATGAGAGGAAAAAAAGTACCGGTACTTGTTCTACTGTGTCTTGTGTGTCACTACCCTATTTCCTCATACCCACTGTCCCTAAAAGCCTCAGGAAAAATGAAAGAAGGAGCACTAATTAAGATGGCTTCCTGGGATTTGGAAGAAAGGTTTGGCGATGTTTCTTCCAGGGTGGTAAAGCCCAGAGGAGGGGATGGGGTAGTTTTAGGCTTGATGAGTCCACCGCGGAACATGTGGGTTTCTTTTTCTTATTGCTCGTAATTAAGCACGGGTTTCTTCAGACGTTGGGTATTTCCCCTCTCTTTTTATTCATGCTGGTTTGTTGGTCTCCCTGCAGTGAAAGGTAGAAAACAGGGAGACAGAGGTGTTTTATCTTAGCACGCAAGCTCATCGAAGTTGTTGCTTCTTTATCAATTACAGCTTGAATGGAGAAAGCGTCGGCGTCTGGGCTCTGTTGTTGAAGGACACGCAAAGGTTAGTGCATGGAATGGTAATGAAAGTTTGGATGAGGGTTTATTTTTCTCATATTTAGAGCATGATTCTTTAGAACTACTGTAAACTACTCACTTGAGTTGGTGCACTTTATACCACAGATTGGAACGCTGATCTTTTATAAGTGCTAAGCATCTTCTGGGATGAGTAACAGCTATGTGACATTCTGAGTTTAGCAATGACAAAGCTACAAATGTTCCATGACTAACTGAAACACATAATAATTGGTCATTTTTTATGCATGCTCAGTTATAATTATTTTGTCCCGAATCACGCTCAAACCATTTGCAAGATCTCCCACTAAGTGTGCCTATGGGTTTAACTGAGGAGTTCAGCTCCCTCTAAAAATAGCACTAATCGTAAAAGGTTGAGGGTTATTGAGTCCTTCTTTTCATTGTTTCAGTCTGTCTGACAAGGATCTGAGAACCTGAGGGGGACAAGAAGGGTTGGCATGGACTTGTCAAGAGAGTGAGACACGTCGAGTCAGAAAATGAAAGTGTGTGTGTGTGTGTGTGTGTGTGAGGGGGCATCAGCGGTGGGATGGAGGGGAAAAAGGACGAGCCTTTCAGCTCCTCCAGAGGGTTGGAATTCCTCCCGAGCTGTTCCCCCCATTTGGCAGGCACTTGTGAAAACAATTCCCCAGCTTTTAGTCACCGTGCAGATCCAATTGCCATTTCCACTTTGGAGGGAATGAGACTTTGAGCCAATCCAGATAGACACAACGCAGAGAGAGAAGGGGAGAAGGGTTTTAATCAGGTTGGACAGATGCCGAGGCCAGTTGAATGGTTGTGCGATATTAATATCTTATGAGGGCTGTCTGGCAGCAAAAGCTCACCGTCTTGTGTGGTTTTGTGCTTGTACGTTGCAGCAGCAGCCATAGCGGTGGCTAAATGAAGATTTTGTGAACATGCACGAGGAGAGGACTCCACCTTTCTCTTCACTGACTTCCCTAGATGCTTTGGCCAAAGGAAAGATGGAAAGAAATGCGAAGAGTAAGCCACTTCACTCATACCTTACCCCCTACACCACAATGCTAATGAATGTATAATTATCGCCGTTTTGAATCCCCATAGCTCACCGAGGAGACACGATTTATGCAGTGTTAAAGACTTAAGTGATTAAAATGCCAAAATGTTTATCTTCTGTTCTACGAAGCTAGGCCGTATGTGGAAAATAATGTGCAACTTGACATTCGTGTGTCGGTGCCAAGTTTGGTTTCTGCTCCAGCTACAG